CCGTGAAAATAAAAGAGATAACTATAAAACCCATTCCTCGCTATTAAAGAGGGAAGTCAGACGCAATCGCAATGAAAGTAAAAGTGAACGCTATTCTGTTTCAAAATTTATTACATTATAACATAATAAACGTTATTATTATTACTTAACAGTGAACACCAATGTATTTTTAAGTATCTGAATGCTACTGGACATTCTACTTTATTGTCATTATGTATTGTGTAATCTGTAATTTGGATCATGTGTATCTATGGAATTTTACGTATTCTTGCATTATCAAGGGTACCCATTATTTTGCTTAGTCATTAAATTGAGCATTTTGTGTATGTGTGTGTGTTTGGATATCTAATTAACATAAACTTTGTCATTCAGATGGGTCCAGCCGTTAAGGAGGAGTTAGGTGACGAACACTCGTACAGAGGAATTACATATATTAAAAATCTGTTAAAAATAATCTAACATTTGCATAATACACCTATGTGCTGTGTTCTATTGTACGCCATTTAAAACTATATATAGGTACAGATACAGTTATCAGTGCCCAATAATTGTGTAGTTCTTAATGATAAAATTAAAAAATAATTTAAGACCACCTAAATATGTATAAAAAAATGTTAATAAAATAACAACTGACATGTCAGTTGTTATTTTATTAACATTTTTTAGACCTTCGGGCTATGTATTATAGGCGATTTAGTAACACCCGATTGTTGAATACATGATTATGTAAATGAAACGACTTATAAGTGTGGCTCTTACAGAACCAGCCTTCTCGTGAAGGACCTGATCAAGGGCATCAAACTTAATGTCTCTTGTTTGTATTTCTGTAGTTGGAAAAATATTATTCAGAAGGTTATGATAAAACTCTTGACCATAAATTGAGTATATATTATTTGCATTAAAGCAACTTCATTTCAGATTCACCTGATAATAAAATCGAATTGATAACATAAATTCAATTTCATTTATATTTTATTTAAAGTGATGAAATGAAAATATTATTAAGGAGTTTTATGATATTGTTTTAATTAAAAATATATATGTATAATAATATCATAATATAATAAAATCTAATGGCATGGAAATTAGGACTTTTGCTTAAGAAGCGACATAAATTTAGTTTATATTAAAATTGAGAAAAAATATAATATAAACTGATATTCGCGAAAATTGCGCACCATTAATAAATTTTGTGAAGAACTTCATCCTTTTTTAAATCGGTCTATAATTTCTTTTTATGTATGATACATGACATATACACGGTGTCCCCGACAGGCTAGTACTCATTGTACAAGATTTCCTGTCGAATCGCTCTTATCGCTACCGTATAAACGGAGCGTTATCCGACCCGCATATACGATCATTCTCCGATGCTCTACTTTGTACACAACGACATAAATTCTCCGACTTAAAAGTCGAAATATCGCTGTTTGCCGATGAACGGCTCTCTTTACATCCGCCAAGTCCCGTGCGACAATAGCCTTTTAATGTGGGCGAAATGATAAATGACATAAACACGAAATATCTCGGCGTTTAAATTTGTGAAGCCGCCTTTATACTAGGGCGACTCTATCCTTTTATTTAAAATCGCTTCGCAACAAGCTGACATTATAATTGCATCTCCCATCATGACCTTATCCCGTATATAATACTGCTTAATCAACAGATGCAGGTCATTCAGAATGCGTCGAGCCACCGGTGCGCCGTGGTTCGTTCGCAGCGTAGATCTCCACCGCGATCTTAATCTGCCCTCCATCAAGCAGTTTATGAAGGAACGTTCGACGCTACCGACTCTGCCCAATCCCACTAATAATAGTAGTGCGGTCGACTACGCACCGATTATCCGACATACGCGACAATCAGAAAATGACCCCGACGACCCCATAACGGTAGGAAACCTCCCCACGGGCCCACCCGTTCCACCCTGCTCACACTTTTACACACACACACGACACCGTCCTCGCCGGCGAAGACGACGACCTCAAACACACAATATCGCGCATTCAACCGGGCGCCTGCGCGCGCCCCGGCGCTCCACACCCGCGCCCCCCGGCGCCCCTCCGATCGATCCCCGCCAATTCAAACGGGGATCGAAATTACGACGGCCTAATCGAATTTAATAAAGTCTTTGGCCTTCAGCCGCTCCATAAGTCCTTCCGCGGGTTTGGAGTGCCATCTGCACTCGCCCCATAACGTCCGGTGAAGCTGTAAAGGCCAGCTACGGCCAACAGCATTAGAGTAGTCCGAAAAAAAAAAAAAAAAAAAAAGACATATACACGGTTACACAAATCAGTTGCTTCGTCCGCTTTTATAATTAATTTATAATATAATATTTCCAGAAAAATACTAATTATCCATGATTCATGAGTACGAGGGCATGACTAATCTATCTTGATTGTTTATCAGAACAATGTGAATGTCTAAATATAATGATTATAATAAAATTCAAAATTTTCTATGTTATACATTTCTATGCTTTAATTATTATAATGTGAATATATTATGATATTATCGTAAAAAAAGATTTAGTAATTCATCTTTTCTTTGCTTATCTGCATTACATAGAGGCGATATCGTATCATGCATTGTAAGCTCAGTCGCCTCGTTCACTCCCATGGTAAACTTGATACCGGGTGTGTACATTTTATTGGTATTGTTATCAGACAGCCTTGCATATCGCACAGTGATGAGTTTGTCGTTCGAGCTCACTCACACGCCGTCAACAGTTCAACTCTTATCGACCGATAGCCTCGACCTCTTCCCCTGGTTCTCTTGATTTGACTGCTCAAGCTAAATTTTATTTTATACACTATTGCCTTACCATAGATATCAGGTTTCAGTGTACCAATGCTTGAAACTTCTATAAGGATAAGTAGGCACATAATATAATGGTATACATATGCCACCGTATACAAATCAAGAAAAGGGTGTTATTATATTTGAAAAAATATTTGGATTAAGACAAAATTAAGGTTTGCTATATTTTTTAACATAGGTTCTTTCTTTCTTTACAAAAATAATGCCCAGCCATTAAAATAATTGTTCTAATATAAGACTTGTTTATCTATTATGTTCACGCTAGCACCTGTTACAAGTAAAGCAGAGAGAGAGAGCCGATTATTTGTGAGCTGTGTCTGTCCCAATATATATTAACTTTTATTTGGTAAACTTTAACTTATTAGGCAAGTATATAAACAAACGTCGACGTTTTATAGCTTTGACGAAATAGTAAAATTAATATTATCAAATTAACATGATAACCTAAAAAAATATTTATAATATGTATGTACCTACTGTTTGCATAATCATAAAAATACTATAATGAACAGTTACCATAATTATATTTGTGCAATTGTACTTAGTTAATCGAAAATATTCGGAATATGAGGTTCAGAATAAAATATACATTTAATTTAAAATTTCGTTTCATGTAGTAAAATGTTGTGATCAATATTGCAATCATTGACGTAAGAGGTAATCACAGACGTATAATAGACCTCAGGAGTGGCAACCCATGTGGTCACCTATGACCCCACAGACTTATCTGTACATATTAACGTGTAATATTATGCAAACTGCAAATACTATGTTGCTTGGTGATAATCATTATTGTTGACCACAACGCTGATAGCGATGGCTCTTATAAATTGCCAGCAATAATGACCACAACAGCCATAAATTTCCTATTGGAACTCAAGTCAATCTATTTATTATGAATTTCTAAAAGTCTCGTAGGCCAAATAGTTTTTCAAATCGTCCTATTCTACGGATTTTTTTCCCAAAACTATGGTAAGCAAAAAAAAAAAAATATATAGAGATATATATATATATATAATGGAATGGTGCACCCGCCTGCGCTAACGGTTTACGCTGGCGGAGCACCAGTGGAGGATGATAAGATGAGCATGAGGTCAGGTCAGTTAGCCCATCGTCACCAAGAATTTATCACGATGATTTCCAGGGAGAACCGCGTGGAGGTCAACCTGACATGGTACATTGCTAGCAATGGGATCATTAGTCCACATCACTAACAATCCCCTTCCCCCCTCAAGGATTTGTTCGATAGCTGGTTGTTGTAAGAAAGTTGTTTAAGATTTTGTTGGGGAAAAGATAGGATTCTGGATGCAGAATCTTAGGTAGAGTAGTAGTCTTGTAGTTAAAATATTTATATATTGCATTATAGTATATAACTGACTACTGCTCGGTTACAGAAAGTGTTATAAACGGCTTTAGTTAAGTATGTAAAACTCCATTTGACCGACGCGCTAGCGAATGCACGTATGTTGACGCTCCCTCGAGCAAACCACCGCGCGCGCGCACGTAGCGCAGTTACGTTCGCGCGGTCTAATACTGATACTACGCCGCGTGTTAGGTGCACTCGGTAATAGCGTGGCCCGGGGCCTCCGTGTCGACCGCGCTCTCGGCATCCGTTCCGACACAGTGCTACCGGACTTTCCGCGTGTGTAGTGTTGTGTTGTGAGGACTGAAGGAGGAACTCTCTTCGTTCAAGTGAAGTGAAGTGTTGTGTGTGGACGTTCAGTCACATATCAATAGGCACTCACCCCCCTGCCTCACCCGGCAGGGAGGCCCCCGCTGACACCGTCGGCTGCACCCGCCGACGACCGTCCTTATCTTAAGTACTGACTTACCCTATTGTTTTATTGTTTTGTTATTGTATTGTATTGTTGTATTGTTATTGTATTGTTTTATATTACTATTTCTACTCTTATTCTATTCTTTTGAACAGTGGTAATTAACATTACCACTGTTACTTATCAGAGGCCGATATGCCTCTGTTCTTCCAGTTTGGAAAAAAAGTGTCCCGGCATCTTAAATGCTTTTATAGCATTCAAAGCCGCCAAGCCCGTCCACTTAGTGTTCGCCCCCCGCGTCCCCAATGATGACTCACACTGACGAACCGAACACTGACACTGACGAATAGGACGACTCGCAACGGCTCTCGCCGCTTCCCCCGACCCAAGCCGACCAAATCGCCCGCCATGGAACAGGACGATATATTGACGCTCCTAGTATGGAGCTCGACGCCATCCGCGACGGCGACGTCCCCTCTCCCATCCCCCGGTCTCCTCAGACGAGGACGATTTTATTCTTGTTGGCAACAAGCGTGCCAAGAAGAAGGGCTCCAGCCAGCCAAAACAAAGCGTGCCCATGACGGCACCGCTAAAACCGCCCCCGGTTTAGCCCCGCCCCCGTCATCATCCAGGACAAAAGTGCCTTATCCAATATGCTTAAAAACAAGCATATCAATTTCAGCCATGCTAAGGCTACCTCACTAAATAGTATAGTCCCATCATATATATATATATATATATTGTAATTTTACCCAAGGAGCTCTCAACAGACTCCATCCTTGAGGACCTTCAGTCCCAGAATTACCCAACGCACGAACATCATATGTACCAGTCGCGCTCACGCAACAAGGATATCGACCTTGTTCTAGTCGTATTAGACTTATCCCCAGAAGGCAAATCGATCTTTGATATAAAGAGCGTTTGCCAACTATCCTCACTCTCCGTAGAGGCGCCTCGCAAGCGTACCTACCCCGGACAATGCCACCGTTGTCAGAACTACGGGCACTCTGCCCGTAATTCGCTCGCCCACGGTGCGTCAAGTGCCTAGGCGATTTGCGGCCATAGGCCCAACACCCCCACGCCCCCAGTTGTGCCTCACAGAGGGTCAACCGTGCCTTACCGCGGTTGCTCGCGCGCCCCGCGTCCCGCCAAAAAGAAGGCCACCCACACCCAACCGTGCTCCGGCACGTGCCCCCGCCAAGGCTCAAACACAACCCGAGCCACTCTTACCCGCTCCTCTGCGTCCTAACAATGCCTGGATTAAACCCCAGGCGATTGTAAGCGTAGCACCCAACCCGCCCGCCCAGAAAGCCCCGCCCGCCCAGTCGGCCCCGCCCGCCCAATCGGCCCCGCCCATGCCCATACACAAACCCGTCCCCAAAACACTGCCCGCGGCCCCCAGTTGGGCCAACGGCAGCTCCCTCGCGCAGGACTTCGCATTGGTCGCTCGCCAGCACCATCGACCCTAACGAGATTGCCCTTCTGGCCTCCAAGCTCCGCCTGTATAAGGAGTCGCCCCAAAATAGGCTCGCAGCCGTCTGCGAGCACATCGGCATACTTACCGCCATCCTCAATTTTAACCTGTAATTATGGGTACTCGAGCTCAGAGAGAAAAGCCTCGGTCCGTTCGAATAGCGTTTTTTAACGCGTTCGGATTAAAAAACAAAAAGGAAATCGCCTCCTTTCTCACTGACAAGTCGATATTCTCCTCGTGCAGGAGACCCTTGGTTCAGTACGCGATCCTAGAATCGCCAATTACAACTTAGTTAGGAACGACCGCACCGCCTGTAGAGGCGGCGGTACGCTCATATACTATAAACTGTCCCTACATTGTATACCGCTACAAACACCGCCTCTCACTCATATGGAGGCCTCCGTCTGTCTTCTCGGCATGACCGGCCACCGACCGCTCGCCGTGGCATCCGTATATCAGCCTCCCGGCAAACTACTGCTGGAAAGCGACCACTACGCGCCCTCCCAGATATCAACAGCGCCACCATTTGGCTGGCGATTTGAATTTGCCACGTGTCCACGACAAACGGCCACAAACTAGACCGACTAGCCGACTCGCTCGAATTCGAGATAATCGCCCCGCTCCGCCCTACTCATTATCCCCATAACGTGAACCACCGACCCGAATACTGGACATGGCACTGCTGAGGAACGTAACCCTACGGGTGAGCTCCCCAGAAGTCCATGTCTCGGACCATCGACCGGTAACCCTCCTTCTGGGCCCCCCGCCCGACACGCCACTACCAACCAAAACAATACTCGAGAAATCTCTCGAATCGACCGACACACCGATACTAAACCGTATTCCCGACGTCATAGAGTCCACCGAGGACACTCTCATTGCGATCGACTCGCTTACTACCCACCTGCAGTCGGCAGTCAAGGACTGCTCCAGGGAGGTACCGGCGACGGACGACCGTCGCTGGCAGCTCCCCGATGACGTAAGGAGGTTAATAAGCGATATAAACGTACGATCGCTAGAACCAAAGCGTTAAGGAGCGCATCGCGCAGATCCGGGAAAACTAGTCCTAGAAGAGATAACGCCATGCCACACCGCGTACTGGCGCATCGAAATCTCTCAAAACCGACCAACAGACAAACGACATTAGTCCGACCCGACAACACTATAGCCTTCTTCGACGAAGACAAGGCTTGTTAGCGTCCAATTATCCTCCCCCAGCACGCTCCCAGTCGAGGCAGGTCATCTCGAGAAGATAGACACCGAAGTCGAACGCATCGCGTCCACCCCGCCCACCGAATCCCTCTCACCAGTCACGCTTGATGAGGTCAAAACGCTAGTTAAACAACTACCTATCAAAAAAAATCACCCGGCTCAGACGGCATATCGAATAGATTAGTCAAAAGTCTGCCATCCCAACTTTTGTCACGTCGCTATTTTTAACGCGGCGCTGTCCAACGCTATATTTCCCGACAGCTGGAAAGAAGCCGTGGTCATTGGCATCCCCAAGCCCGGTACAAATAAATCCGACCCGTCCAGTTATCGTCCTATCAGTGGCTATAGGCAATACGAGCGAATCCTCCTCGCCCGCCTAAAGGAGTTTATATACTCCAAAGGCCTGCTCATCAATGAGCAGTTTGGCTTCCGAGCCAAACACTCATGCGTCCATCAAGTGCACCGCATCACGGAGCACATTCACAAAAACACTCTGTACTTCGCCACCAAGTCCCCCAAAGGCGGTACAGGCGTAATATATTTCGATGTGGCTAAGGCTTTCGATAAAGTCTGGCACAACGGCTTGATTTACAAGCTTCATCAGAGGTGTCCCCGACAGGCTAGTACTCATTGTACGAGACTTCCTGTCGAATCGCTCTTATCGCTACCGTATAAACGGAGCGTTATCCGACCCGCACCCCATACGAGCCGGCGTCCCTAGGGCGCCGTCCTCTCTCCGATGCTCACTCGTTGTACACCAACGACATCCCTAAATTCTCCGACTTAAAAGTCGAAATATCGCTGTTTGCCGATGACACGGCTCTCTTTACATCCGCCAAGTCCCGTGCGACAATAGCCAGACGGCTTTGATAATGGTTCCGTCGGTGGCGCATAGAAGTCAATCCCGAAAAAAGTGCAGTAGCAGGGAATTCGACTCTATGAATCACCCGATCGAACTATTCGGCCAAAACATCCCGTGGGTTTCGAAAACGAAATATCTCGGCGTCACCCTAGATAGGAAACTAACGTTTCGTCCTCACATCAAGCGTGTCCGCGACCGAGCCGCCTTTTTGTAGGGCGACTCTATCCTTTTATTAACAAGCACAGTAAAATGTCGCTTCGCAACAAGCTGACATTATACAAGGCTTGCATCCGTCCCATCATGACCTACGCTAGTCCCGTATTCGCCCACATACCCTACTGCTCTTAATTAGGTCATTCAGAATAGGTTTCTGCGTCGAGCCACCGGTGCGCCGTGGTTCGTTCGCAGCGTAGATCTCCACCGCGATCTTAAGTTCAAGCAGTTTATGAAGGAAGCGTCTCGACGCTACTTACTCTGCCCAATTAATATAGTCAGTGCGGTCGACTACGCACCGAGGAGTAATATCCGACATACGCGACAACGTCGCCCGAAGCACGTTCTCATTGACCCCGACGACCCCATAACGGCAGGTAACCTCCCCACGGGCCCACCCGTTCCACCCCGACCACACTTTTACACACACACACGACACCGTCCTCGCCGGCGAAGACGACGACCTCAAACACACAATATCGCGCATTCAACCGGGCGCCTGCGCGCGCCCGTGCGCTCCACACCGGCGCCCCCGGGCGCCCCTCCGATCGATCCCCCGTCCAATTCAAACGGGGATCGAAATTACGACGGCCTGAGCCGAGGTTCGAACCCCTAGTGGTGCCCTCAGACTAAAGTCGTATCCGTCGGGCAGGAGTTGGCCTTCAGCCGCTCCATAAGTCCTTCCGCGGGTTTGGAGTGCCATCTGCACTCGCCCCATAACGTCCGGTGAAGCTGTAAAGGCCAGCTACGGCCAACAGCATTAGAGTAGTCCGAAAAAAAAAAAAAAAAAAGTATGTAAAACTAGTATCTGAATGATCACTTCTTAAACTTTTTGCACAAGTGTTTACAATTATATGCACTACATAACAGGATATTTCAACTCAACAATAATCACAGTAAAAAATTCGTTATATTGTGTGGATAATAAAAATATTTATTAAAATATACGGTAATCTTTAAAAGCTTATAAAAAGTAGGCACACAACAAACAGTTCCCACTTTCCATCAGCTGGGTGTAAGCCCTTCAGCTTGTTTGCGATTCCCAGTAGAATGTAAAAAAAACGTTAACTGAAGAACCATTATTGCCATAAAGACCTACCTACCTTATCATTTTGAGTGCGAGTTGTAAGCCGTCTACCTCCATATCATTTGTATGACTAAGTTATCACTTGTTTACATAAATATGTCCTTCGAAAAAAGTTAATAGATACCTACTTATTACAGTGTTGGTTCGTAGCAGTTGATTTATGGAAGAAACTTACCAATTGAAGGTTTTATATAAAATATTAAATTGAATGTACCGACAATGGCGCAAATCACTTACAACATCATCGGCTATAGTTGATAATTTATTAGATTTTATTGTTTTGATCATAAATTTTAGTTAATTATATTTTTAATGGCCTGGTTAATAATTTTAGTGCTAATAATATCTTAAGTTTAGTTGGTCAAGAAATACAGAACTTTAAAAATTACATATATAATGCAATGATTTAACGAAACTTTTAAAATAATAGCCATGAAATATCTTAGCTCTATGTCTGTAATAATATTATAATAGCCTATTTTTTGCATCGAAGAAAGAAAAAAAGATGATATAGATGAACTTGCTTCCATGTCTTAACTTGATTAAAAAATTTTGAAATATATCGATTCAGTCATCAACCCCGAGATGTACATTTTGAGTTCGATCACTGAACTTAATTTTACTGTTGGTTGGTTGGCTGTATTCATTTAACAAATAAAAGTACCTAAATGAAGAAATGGACGCCATTCTATTATAGAAACAGCTATATGCAATCGCGAATACAGCTAATATACAGGAGTATAATTAATATAACAAGTGATACTATTCCTGCTGAGCATACGATGCTACAAGTATAAACTATGAGCTAAATAAAGTTGAGGCGTGTTCTCAGAAAGCTCGGCGGTGGTCGCCTGCTTGCCAGTTCTTTGTTTTTAAACGTGACCCGAGTTTTCGATGCACGCAAATTAACTAAATTTAGATCACTGACACTCATTGGTCGGTCTTCTAACGATTGCACTCCACCACATGATTCGAACTTTTTCATTCATACGTTATTTAATTGTTTGCCGAGAAAATTCTTGTATTTACAATGAATCTATATTTAAAATGTTGTTATACTTTTAGAGATCTAAAAGTAGGAGGCAACGAGGAATATTAAGCTCTGTAGATTTTTTTAAACAGAGTGTAATTGTAGAGTATTAATTATATTATGAGACATCTCTAAGAACATATTTTTAATATTGTGAATTACTAGAAAGAAACCTATATGTACATTTCACACATTATAGTACATATATATCTATGTATAGGTACATACATGTTAATTATTTGTTTGACTTCTGAAATAAATATAATTACTTTTTAATCTTAATTTCTTTATTAAAATTCCAGTATTGTTTCATTATTTAGTTCACCAATTACAGATGGAAAAATAATGATACCTGTAGATTCATTTTTCGCAACAAACAATGTTTATGTATTAAATAAACTTATAAAACTTGTTTGTCAACCAAGAAATAAACGCCATAGTCACACTTTACAACTTGGAAACAAACATGGCATTATAAACCAGAACAAGCAAGGGGAGATTGTAGTACCTACGAGTATAACAAGAATAAATGTAAACCAAATGACATTATCTACGCAGGATACGTTTTATTCACCCGGCTAAATGACAAGG